GAGGTGGATAAACTCACTATAGCAACAAGAAGATAGAATTATAAACTAAAATAAAAATTGAAATAGTAAAAAGTTATATATTTTTTTTTCTTTTTCTTTTTCTTTCCTGGGAGACGCTCTCAGAATGACAGCGAGTGTCAATGCTGGCCAAATTCGCCAGCCAGGGATGAGGCCGTGCAGGATGCAGAGCCATGTCGGGGTTTGGAGACTGGCACTAGGGATGGAGGGGGATGGCAGAGAGGCAGAGCTCGCTGCTGGCTCAGCAAAGCTCCTGCCTCACAGCCACGGCTGTGCGGTGCCTTCACACCCAGCAGAGGAGGAGAGTGAACCAGAGGAAGGCTGGGGAGGCAAATGGCAGCATGTTGGGGACTTTCCACTGGAATTGAGAGCCAGAGACTTTATCCCTTTTCTCAGTCCCAAGCACAGGCAGGGCTGGAGCAGAAAGGCAGAAGAACCAGAGGGCTCTACTGGAGACTCGCTGAGCAAGGGAAGAATGTCCTCCATCAACAGATGACATCTCCCACTGGGAAGCAAGGAACCCAAGCTCCATGACCAAAGTCTCTACCCCAGGCTGAGGGTGATAGGAGATTTGTTATTGATTCACTGTGGCCAGAATTTCATCCTGTGATTTAAACCTAACTCCTCCAAAGAGAATAAGATCAATTTTACAGAGAATCAAATACATAAAGAACACCTTTGAGCTGGTGTGCAGCAGACACAGAGAGGGGAGTTTAAAAAAAGTTTCTTTCCCTATCAGGAGAGTTATGAAAGGAAGGGGGGCGGGAAGGAAACTGGAGAATGTTATTTGCTTATTTTCCCTTTCGCAGTCAAAACAATCCTGTTGCTGCCTGCTCTCCTGACGAGCAGCAGAGGGTTTCTGATAGCAGTGCCAGGATGAAGCTGCTGCAGTCCCCATCCTTGGAGCGTCCTGCCCAGATCCCCACCTCCCATCCAGCCCTTCCAAGGTGGTCCCTGCCCCATGAAGCTGCACCAGCACCACAGGGGCAGGTCTGACATGCTGGGGTCCCACATCCACCGAGGCTGGCTCAGGCGAGGGGCAGCCCAAAGGGTACAGGCATTTCTTGCCCCAGTTACCTCCACATCTGGGGATATGAGCTCCCACCAATCAGCCTCCATTCCCCCTGTCTGGGAAGCTGAAAACCCTTACACTAAGCTTCTCTCTTGGAGGTTTTATTATCATAATTCCTTTTTATTTTTGCCTTGGAAGACAATTTATCACCCTCGGGCAGCACAGATTGGTCTCTGCTAAGGCTGATGATCTGCTTCTGTGCCATTTTCCTCTAAAGCACAGGGCACTTGGAGCTTCTTATGTCCTAAAGCTTTGCAAGGGATCAGTGTTTGACCCTCTGCTGCCATCCCAGCCACCTTCCCTTGCCCTGGCCAGGAGCACCTGCCAGCACCATGGCAGAAGCTTCTGCAGGCAGCCACCCCCTGCCCATTATTTAACTGCAATCCAGAGACAATTTTTCTTGGGAAAAGCTTTTAAGCTTGATCAGTGATGGGGTTAATATTGTTTGCCCTGTGTCTCAATTTTTTATCTGTATTAATGGAAACTGCCACAGCTGGCTTTTCCACAGCAGCACCACAGTGTCGCTTCCTTGGGCAGTTTTATTTTCCAGGCTGGGTTGCAGTGACTGATCACTCTGCAGCACAGCAGATCCCAGCCCTGTCCCCACAGAAGCTGCCCAGACACCCCTGCCAGCGGGGTGATGGGCACCCCAAAGCCCAGAGTGTGTCCCCAGAGAGGCTCCCATCCTGCAGAGCCCGTTCTGTCAGCCAGGCCCGGGGAGGAGGGAGCTGAGCAGGGCTGAGCGTGGCAGCAGAGGTGAGCTCTATAATTGTGCACCTGCCTGTGTTTGTTCTGCCACGGCTCTTTGGGGACGCTCGCTTACATCACGTTCAGAAGGAAAGGACAACACAAAACAAAAAGCAGCTGCAAGTTAAACAAGTGGAAGCCCACTGGGGCTGTTGGATGTTGCTTCCTGCCCAAGGCAAGCAGGCAGCTGGTCCAGCACCTTCCCCACCAGCACCAGACATGGGAGCAGAGCCGGGATCCAGACAACAGAAAAGCAGAACAGCAACTATCACTTGCCCCTCTGGGCCCACAACAAACCCTGAGCAGAGCCCTGCTTCAAACAGAGATCTATTATATATATTTTGCTCTATGCTTTCACGCCTTTGATTCCTCCAATTTATTTATTCTTGTCTTCGTGGGCTTAACAGTCAGACTGTACAATAAGTCATTGCTTCTTAATCCAATTTGGCTCTATTTAGATATTCCAGTTTAACATCAAATGTAATGTAGAATCATGTCCAGAAGAAACAGGAATGAAACCCATGGCTCTGAACCTTGCCCGGTGAGGGCTGCCTGCTTTCTTTGCTAATTTATTCTCACTGCCTTCACGGAGCTGGCCTTCACTGCAGCCAGAGGCACAGCAGGCTGGGGGCTCTGCATCTCGGGGTGCCCTACAGCACCCCAGAAATCTCTGCCCAACCCCAGAACTGAGGATCGATTGTCTGGAGGGTGGAAACCTGATTGGGGTCCAGGTTGTGTCTCGCTGTGGTTTGTTGGAGTTGGGTGGTGGGAGGAGGAATGCTTTGCAAGGTTTTCATTTTGATCTTTGTATGTGGTGGGTTTTTTTTCCTTTCTTTTTTCTTTTATAGTAGTAGCTTAATAAAGTCTTTTTCCTGTTATTAAGCTTGGGCCTGCTTTGCTCTGTTCTCGATTGCATCTCACAGCATTCAAATGAGAGACTGCATTTTTATGGGGGCACTGGCATTGTGCCAGTGTCAAACCATGACAGTTTCCTACCCGTGCTCATCCCTGTCCTGGGTTTGCCTCGCAGGTGATGGTGGCAGTGCAGAGGACCCTGCCCAGTTTCACGGGGGCTCACAGCCTGCCTGTCCCAGTTGATCACCACTGGGGACGGTGACGACCCCTTCTCAGGTCCAGGAAAGTTCTGCCTGAGCTTTGCAGCCTCTTGGGTGCCAAAGCTGAGCAGCGTGGGACAGGGACGGGGCTGGGGTGGCACCCAGCCTTGTGCTGGCTTCTGCAGGACCAGCACCTGGAGCCCATCAAAGCAAACCCTCTGAGGCGTATTTAACCAAACACTTACTTTCCATTTTATTCAATAATTGCTTTAATACTAAAATGCATTAGATGCTCAAAGCAGAGAAAAGAAAATCACATTTAGGTGGAAAACAAAGTTCTCATCAGATGAAAAAATCCCAATGTGGCAGGTACACCATTTGGAAACAGAATCATAATAATTTAATAAAGCTGCTTTATCATCTTCATAAAATAGACAGAATGGTGATTCTTTTTTTTTTTTTCCTTTTTCCATTTTGCTGTTTACAATGATTCAATCACTGTGAAAATGTACATAACATACATATCAGCATATACAACAATTTATTCTCCATATACTCGGCAAGGGACACACCATGACGAGACGTGTGGCCGCCGGGGCGGCTGCTGCCAGGGCCAGAGGTGAGGAGGGGTGCTGGAGCCCCTGCCCCAGCCCAGAGGTGAGGAAGGGGTGCTGGAGCCCCTGCCCCAGCCCAGAGTTGAGGAGGGGTGCTGGAGCCCCTGCCCCAGCCCAGAGGTGAGGAAGGGGTGCTGGAGCCCCTGCCCCAGCCCAGAGGTGAGGAGGGGGTGCTGGAGCCCCTGCCCCAGCCCAGAGGTGAGGAGGGGTGCTGGAGCCCCTGCCCCAGCCCAGAGCAGCTGAACATCAGCTGATTCCAGCCAAGGCTCCTCTGGGGCTCAGCAGGGCTCCTCCCCGGCGCCTACCGCAGCTCACAGGTGGGGTCAGAGATCACCCAGAGCTGCACAAGCAGCTGCAGCAACAAGACCATCCATTTTCCCCAATGACAGACAAATGTGTTTCCATTCAAAATTAGATTTTTTTGATTTTTCCTCTCCCTCCCCCACCCCCCCACCCCCACCGAAGAATAATTTCAACATATTCATCAGACAGTGTGTTCTTCACAAAAGCAACTTGTTTCCTATTTGGAAAAATAAAACTAAAAATAATAATAAAAAAAGAAAGGAATTCACTTTTGCACAAAGTGTGATCCACAGGCCACCTCCAGCTCACAACAAACAGGGAACGGCAACGACCTCAGTAGACAGTGCTTGGGGGGGGATATTTCCAGGCATCAGTTGTGCCCCCCAGCCCTGCAGCATCCCTCCCGGCACAGCCGTGCAGCCTCGAGGCTGGGAGAGGCTGGGGGCTCCCAGGGGAGCAGGGGAGAGCTCAGGGCCTGGCCCCCAGCCCCAGAGCTGCTCCAGACGGGGTCCTCGTCATGCTCGGGGGAGAATCGGCGGTGCTTGCTGCTCTCCTGGAGAAACAGGGGAGCAGAGCAAGGCTGCCTGAAGGAAACCAACAGATCCCAGCGATTTTTCCTAATCCAAATCTGAGGACAGGTCTAAGTTATTGAAAAGCACAATAATTACATCTGGAACCCTTCCAAAAAGCCCTCCTGCCCACCCTGCAGCTCGGAACATTTTTTGCATGGCCAGTTTCGATGCAAGGGAGGAAAAAAAACCAAGAGGCTGCAATTTGCCCAGGAGCCTGAACTCATCTCGAGTGACACAGAGGGACAGTGACAGGAGCACCAAAATATTCTGGGGAGGGCCAAGGCAGCAAAGCCAGGGCTGCTCTCTGGGTCTCCCCTTGGCCCCGCACAGCAAGGCCATACCAGGGAAGGGCCCCTCGCTCACATCCCCCCCTGCAGCCTGGGTCAGCCCAGAAAACTGGTGTTTAAATGATTTTCTTGGAGGCATAAGGGTTTACTGACCTCTTTAATGCCCCCTTTTAATACAGAATTATTTCACATTCTTTCTCAGCTGTGCTTTTATTCAGAGTGGCAAGGAACGTTTCCTCTGGGTAAATTAGAGAAATGTTTCTATTTTTTCTTCTTTTTTTTTTTTTTTTTTCCCTTTTTTTCTTTTTTTTTTTTTTTTTTTTTTTCCCCTCTCTTCCTTTTCACTTAGCATCTATTTTTCATCCAAAACACAGGGCTGGTGGTGGCAGCTCCGCAGGCAGGGGGCAAGGCTCGGCAGGAATGAAGGGCTGGTGCTTTTCCAGGCAGCTGGGGATGGTGATGGGGCACCTGGGGGACCCCCACTCCCCAGCCCACCACGGGTCCCTCCTGGGAGGTGTGGGGGGATGATGGGGCCACATGGAGTCGCTGCCCTGTGAAGCCCAGAGCATCTGACAGACGGGGCAAGGCAGGCTCTGTCTCTCAGCAAACACACGGGAGGAGTTTCTCCTCCCCCCAAAAAACCTCCCAGAGCTGACAAAACCAGGTAACATCAGAATAAACTCAGCTTACCAGTTACAGAACACCCAGTTACTCCAACTGCCCCGAGCCAGCCCCTCTCCTCTTTGTGTTATAATAAAACACACATTTGGGGAAAAAAAACAGAAATAAATGATAGCAGTAGCAGTACACAGGCAGGAAACACAGAGGGAACAGAAACAACATATCCCTGAAAAATGGGCTCAGAATCCAGAAGAGGGGAGAAAACCCCCAGTTTCCTTTCTGGAGGGATGCAGGACATCATGTTAACACGTGGGATGGGAGCTGAATGAGGTAGTCATCACACCAGTGAGGGAAGCATCACAAATTTCATCACACAACTGTTTTTTTGTTGATTCTTTCCCAATTCCTGGCCCTAACAAGTGGCAGGGGAAACAGGCTGACTCTGGACCTGTCTCGGACCAGCTGTGGCTTCAGGCAAGAACAATCTGCCCTAAAGAAATAAAAGGCTGGAGTTTCATTTTATTTTGAGGATAATAATAGCTGGAACTTGTTTTCTTGTTGTTTTTAATTTAAATAAATCAAGTAAAAAATACTTTATCATGATATGTAGACCTAGAAAGACTCTTTCTCTAGAAACCACTAATTTCAACTTGCTGGTACAGCAAACATTGGCAAGAGCTATATATTTTTCCTTCCATAATTGATTTTAAATTCTAGGAAACATTATTGAGGGTAGGAAAAATCTGTTCAGTGAAGGGTTAATAATAATAGCAATAATAATAATAATAATAATACACTAACTGAAATCCTCCTACCTTACTCATACCTCACTGAGGAATCATCACTGCAAGAGAGCAGAGAGCTGTGGAATCCCTTCCCTCTCTCCCTTCTACAAAATGGCTATTAAAGTAGCTCAATTTTCAAATCAATTTTACATGAGTAGATTTGTACCCACACAAAAAAGTCCTTAATTATGAGAAAAAATAAAGAATTGCTTTAATTTTTTCTCCATTAAGAAGGCACATTAATTGAATTAGTAGCGTTGTTACATATCACCTGTCTGCCCCTAAATTAACATCACTATTGCTCATTCCATACTTATTTATGATGCAGGGATAGAAAGAAATGGGAACATTCTAAAATCCATGCCATGATGTCATACCTACATACACCCTCTTGGTGTAATCATGGCTAAGGAACGCTGACTGGGAAGTGTGTGTGTCTAATTCAGAAGGTAATTTAGATCTCTTAAAATAATTCCATCTCTTTGACTTGGAAATGACTGGAGGCGAGGGATATCTAAATCTGGGAACTGGAAAAAAACCAAAATAACCAACTTCTGGAAAAAAACCTTTCTATGCATTGCCTCGAAATTATGCAAAAAGAAACGGGTAAGGGGAAAAGTTCAGCACAGTGCATCCGACAATTGCAATCGAGGCAGGATTTTCCCAAAATCGTCTTCCCATAATGCCCTGTCATTTTCCTGCAGGAGCCGGGGGAGGCTGCAGGCAAAGGTGGGGGCTGGAAGAAGCGCTTGCTCCACCGGGGCTGCAAACTGCAGGTTCCCCAAAGTTTAAGTAAGATGATTGTGATTGATAATTTTTTTTTATTCCTTTTTTTTAAGCCTGAAAGCCTTTTGCCATCACTAGACATACAGTAATTTGCAATATCAAATACAATAATAGTACAGGTAAGTATGTGACAGCAAAAGGATTCATAAATGCAGGGGTGTCCATAGCAAAACACCAACACCTTGAAAGACAAACAACCTCGTGCTGGGTGAATGGGAACTGAAACTCACCCGACTGTCGCTCTGAACAGTCCCACGCAAGAAACAGCCGCTACTTTGTCCAGACTACAAAATTGCCGGGGTGGTTACTAAAGATGTCCGAATAAGGAATTGGCCACTCCATTCTCGCCAGGAATGGAAATTTATCTTCGTTTAGAGATATAAAAATATATAAACTCCGAGGAGGGGACACCGAGCGCTCCTGAGGACCGGGGGGTCTGGCCTCTGCCCCGCCACCCGCCGCCTCCCGGCCGAAGCGAAACACGGAACACCGGCTCCTCCGCTCCGGCTGCACACCCCTGCCGCCCGTCAGACACGTGGGATTGTCACATTAACGATAGCTCCATTTATAAACAATACATTTAGGGAAAGCTTTTAAATACAGCAATCTGTGAACCATTGGTAAGCGATAAAAACAATCTGCGCTGGGAGTCGTGCGGTCCCTCGTCCTCGTCCTCGTGCTCGTGCTCGTCGTCGCCCGCCGAGTGCCGCTCAGAGGACGATGTCCTTTAGTCTGCGGGCACCGGGCGAGTCCTTTTCCCGGCGCTCCTGCAGGAGCGGGTTGCCCTCCTGCCCGCTGCTCTCGCTGTCCGCGCCCCGGGGCTCTGCCTCGGTGGGCCGGGAAGGGCCACCAGAGTTCCCGAAGGGCTCCCGGCTGCCGGCGCAGTGCCCGGCCGCGTAGGCCGCCGGCTTGCCGGCCAAGGACAAGGGGCTCTTGAGGTGCAGGGGCGAGGTGACGGGGCTGACGGCCTCGCAGCCGTTGCCGGCCTCGCGCACGGCGCCGCTCACCTTGGGGCTGCAGGCGGCCGAGTCCACCGTTCTTTTGCCTTTGGGGTTGGCGAGCCGCTCCTCGGCCGGGGGCTCGCCGCCCTCCTTGCCGAAGGTGGCGAAGGTCCTTTTTGTGCCGCAGTCCGCGTAAGGCTCCGCGTCCACCGCCGAGGCCTCGATGGACAGGGCGATGACGTTCCTGCCGTGCTCGGGGGACTTGGCGCGGCTGGGCACGGCGCCGCGGGGCATCCAGCACCTGTCCGAGTGGCCCAGGATGCGGCACTCCTCCCGGCAGTGGAAGCCCTCGCTCTGCTCTGTGGGGACAAAGCACAGGGGGGTGAACGGGGGAGCCCGGACGGGGTGCCCGCTCCCACCAGCCTGCCCGGGCCGAGCTGGGCCCCGCGCTCTGCCCCATCCCGAGGAGAGGGGATCCTACCCCACACGGCACCGACTGGTCAAACAGCCATCCGTTTCAGGGCTCTACAGACTGCAGTTTAATTTCCAGTAGGTTGTGTGTCGCCTGTCACCACCAGAACAGAAGCCTGGAGAAGGAGTGACAGCAGCAAATCCATCACAACGGGGCTGTCCACGTGGCAAGCCCTCAGAGCCAGTGGTTCCTGGGTTTAGCCACCAGTGTTAAAAGCCACCATGTTTTAAGCTTGGTTTGATGTGACATTTAAGCTTGACTTTTTGCAGAGAGGGGAAAGGAACAGAGGGAGGAAAGAAAAGGGGGAGGAGGGAAGGGTCTTTGTGGTTCTGCTGGTATATGTGTGTTTTAACTTGTTGCTTAATCCCCACTGACCTCTCACACAACTGAGGCTTTATAAATCTCCAAGATTGTCCACTCCACTGAAGATTAAATGTGTCATTCCCAGTGTTGGGGCTTTAGTCATACAGGAGCAATAAAGATTTCTTCTCTGGACTTGGGGCTGTCGTCCCAGCACCACTTTACAGTGCTGAAATACGGACTGGTGGTTTAACCCTTCCCAGGGACCCTCCATGGCCAGGTCCAAGGGCTCCCAGGCAAGTGCAAACCCCGGTGCCCCGGTGCATTCCTGCACTGTCAGTCAATCCCAGAGGACTGCACAGCTTCACCTCCACATCACAGACGGACAAACTGAGGCTCGGGGAAGCAGCCAGGCTCAGCCAAGTGCAAAGCTGGAAATCAAATTCAGCAGTTTCACCATGCCCAGCCTTTGCTGAGCATCCGACCGCGGCTCCCGCCGAACACCGCAGGATCCTGGCTGCTTTTCAGTCTCGGCTTTTCCTCCATTTGATAAGAGCTCGTAATTGCAGCTGCCCTGGTAAAGCACAGCCTTTCCCCACTCAGAGACGTGGCTCCTTCCTCCATAACCTACACACACTGAAGCTCTAACGCCGCTGCCCACGCTCGGCCGGGGCCGGGCTGATGGCTCCAAGGTGCAGGCTCAGCCTGGGCGTCCTCCCCGTCCTCCTGCAAACCCTCCATTCTGCTGCTCTGTACATCTGTGTGCATAACCTCCGCTCCTCAGACACATTGGTATTTCCACCACATGCAAGCACTAGGGCGGCTGATAAAAATTCTCGGCACATAACACAATGCACCAAAATATGAGCAGCTTAACACTTACAGAGAATAAACGAGTAAAAGGCAGACCTAAAAAAAAAAAAAAAAAAAAAAAAAAAAAAAAAAAAAAAAAAAAAAAAAAAAAAAAAAAAAAAAAAAAAAAAAAAAAAAAAAAAGGAAGAAAAAAAGAAAAAAAACACCAAGAAAGGGTTTTTTTAAAAAAAGAGAAGAAGCCAATTAATTGAAAAATATATGGGTAAAACATCAGCTTTTTCTCTACATCAGAGCAGCAACCCAGTGATGTGGAGCACAGGGCTGGGTGGAGGGGAGGAGGTCTGGGTTTTGGCATCTGCCTTTACAGCAGCTTGAGAGGATGCCCTGAGCCCTACACACAGAACAACCAGCACTGAGCTCTAAAAGCCCATGATCTTATACTTTGATTCTGTTAATTTCAAGTACTTGAGCAAAATAGAAAGAAAAAAAGAAAAATTGCCCAGAAAATATTGCTGTCTCCTTATTTATCCACAGCTTAACTTCAAAAGGGTGCTACAGGCACACAAAGTTGTGTAGTCTGGCTGTGATAGCAGAGGACTTGGTGATGGCTGGAGGGGCTACAGAAATATCTTGGATTCTCATCCCCGATGAGACACTGATTTATTGTGCTGTGTGACCTTGGGCGTGTTGCTGGAGCACACATCACTTCAGTCTCTCCACAAACATGAAAAGCTGGATCTGTGAGCATGCTGGGCTGCCTGGTCCAGCACGGGAAAGCACAGGGGAGCTGCTTCTCCTCACCTTCCCTGCCCAGCAGCACAGCCCAGCCCTGAATCCATGGCAGCGCCACAGCCAAGGCAAACCTCACTCCACAGGGAGCACAGGCAGGTTTGTCTTGCCTTGATGCGTTTATTCCAACTGGCACATTTTACAGCTAGAAACAATTGGAGGAGTTCCCTGATTACTGCAAGTGGCTGTTCCTCAAAGCCTAGAAAGGCACCTGTGCTTTAAGAGCAGTTCACTACAGAGCACTGTCCTGGTGCCTCTCTGCCAGGGAGATGATCAATTTTGGACATCACAATGCTTGTCTAGAACCTGCAGCAGCTGAAATGCAGGGAGGAAAGGAGCTGAGGAGCATGACATCAAATCACACTGTTTCAATCTTTTGTATTAGGAAGGGAATGTTAACGAGTCTCAAAGAGGCCAGGCTGACAGGCAGAGGGGCACAAGTCACCATCATACCTGAGACAGCAGGGAGCCCCATGGCACATTCTGACCCTCTGCCTCTGTGCCCAGCACACATCTCAGCTTTGAGACCATCCCTGCAGCCAGAAACCATCCTGCTCTCAGGGACAACGTGTCCAGGCTACTCAGAGCAGCCCTGACCTGGCAGCAGGCACAAGGACCAACACAGAGCCCCCAGCAGCAGCCTTATCAACCTGGCAGAATGGGCATCTTCAGCTACCCACCCATCCATCACTGTCAGCCCTGCAGTTGATATAAAATGCTATTTTTACGCCTCAAGCAAGGCCTGTTGATACACAGAAACACCATTCCTCTGCTATCCCAGACCCAAAGGCATGCACTGCAGGGTCTGAGCTCCTCCAGTGGCTGATGCCAGGGCTGATCCCTGATCCTCCTCCTGCCCCAGGCAGAGGCAGGCAGGGAGCTGCTGGACACGCTCCTGGCGCTGCCCTTTGCAGCTCAGTCTGACTCACCCAGCTTTGATGGCACCCAGGACAGTCATTCACGTTCACATTCACATTACTGTACTGTTCTGTCTTGTTCTTTATCACTTTAACAATCAGAAATAGAACAACAGGAAATTCTTTTGCAGCCCTAGACCTGCCCTAGTCAATACAACTGTTCCTGTCTGCAGTGACAAAATGTTCTTGGTGCACGGAGCAAAGCCCAGGTAAGAACCACCACAACCACAACACAGTGAGTGCCCTTCATGGGAGCTGCTGTACCAGAGACGTGCAGGTCCCCTGCAGCACTATCCATGTTTCAGATGACTGCCCACACTCAGCACAAATCCAGAACCTTGTTTCATAGCACCTTAGGGCAGGGTCACTTTTAAAACATTCTCCAGGTACAAAACATCCTGGCAGAAGCCTTTTGGTCAAGAGGTGAGCAGTTATCCTGAAGTCAGACTTGGCAGGAAAAATGTCATTACTAAACATAAGCTCTTGCATCGCAAATATGAAATAACATAAAATCCACAGCCACCTCTGGAATAAATATGTTCCTCGACAAGTAAAGCAAAATCCATGTTAAACTCCAGATTTCAAATCAGAGCTCTACTTGCAGCTCAGAAGGCCAGTACAAAGGCAACTGCTGTGGGTCTCAGCCAGGCAGCAGCTACCAAGGACCAGCAGCTGCAGGAAGACCTGGTGGGAGAAATAAAAATCCCCCAGCCAGCCAAGACCCTCAGCACTTCCCAGTCCCACCGTGCAAGCTCTTGGTCAGAAGAGCAGGACACAGGATGGATGCCCAAAAGGCAGAGCCCAGGAGGAGCCGGCAGAGGACACGTGGTGGGCACTGCAGCAAGAGCCTCCAGCTCCACGCAGCACGGGCTCTTCCCCCATCCCAGGGGGGATTTAGGAATGTCCTCGGTGCACAAATCCCCCACCTCCTGTCCAACAGCCATGTACCTGCAGCACAGCAATGTAGAGCAGGCGCGCGAGGTGCCCATTCAGCTCTCACAGCAATTGAATTATCTCCAGTGGAATTGCAACGCTGGCCAAAGAGACAAAGTTAAATCGTAGCAAGGTGCAAGTGCCTGGGAATGTAATATTCCTGATAAATGGCCAGATGACATGTGCTGTTATACAATCTAAGGTGCAATTTGGGCGATGACAATAGTCCCTGGAGTTTCCATTTCCAAACAGCCGCTCGGTTCAATCCAATCCGTGTCAGAGCAGCTCTGCCGAGGTGAGTAAGTGGAGCTCGTTTGTGCCATTACAGGGCAGCGAGGAAGAGGAGGGAGCAGCTGCTCGGGAATGAGGAATGAGGGGAGAAAAAGAGGGACTGGAGGAACCCCGGCCTGTGGGACACGCACGGGGCAGGGGAGAGCCGGGCTCAGCAGCCCCAGCTCACAGCCCCCAGCCCTGCAGCAGCACCGGGCATGGAGCCTGTACCTGGGCAGTGATTGTACCTGGGCAGTGATTGTACCTGGGCAGTGATTGTACCCGGGCAGTGATTGTACCTGGGCAGTGATTGTACCTGGGCAGTGATTGTACCCGGGCAGTGACTGTACCTGGGTACTACCCATACCTGGGCAGTGACTGTACCTGAGCAGTGCCCATACCTGAGCAGTGCCCATACCTGGGTACTACCCATACCTGGACAGTGCCCATACCTAGGCAGTGCCACAGGTCCCTTTGTGCAGGAGCCTGGCTCCAGCTCCACATTTCGGTGTTTCTTCAGCAGCCATATGATTACACTGTAATCACGATGACACTGCTCCTGGGTACAGCAAACAGCACGATCATTAAAAAATTCATTTCAAAATCTTCCTGGAAGCTAATAAATTTTACAGCAGTTTCAATCCTTTCTCATTGCAACAAAGAAAAGCTTAGTTCCAGACAAATTAGAAGTAAATTGATTGCCTTAGGGGAATCTATTCAAATATCACTTTTCCATGTTAGGAATCTCTTCCTGAAACAAGAAGAGGAGAACCAGGGAGAACCAGCACACGAGCAATGTGGAAAAGCAAATCATTAAAATCTCAGTTCATGAAACTGAGGGGCAGGGGGGTGGGGAATCAAACTT